TATATATATATATATATATATAATTTAATTCAAAATGATCTGTGTTATATTAATACGTATGTTACATAATGTATTATAATAATAATAAGTGTAACTTATAAATATACTATAGTATAAATATCAATGCAATATAATCTATTGAGTTTAAACGTCAATTGATCTCAAGTGTTTATCATTTAATAACATAACTTATAAATATACTATAGTATAATTATCAATGCAATATAATCTGTTGAGTTTAAACGTCAATTGATCTCAAGTGTTTATCATTTAGATGAATTCCAGCATATATTAAACATTGCGAAGCCGCGTATTGTTTTTGTATCTCAGCGCACTGAAAATCTCTTCGCTGAGATTCTACTAAAATTATCCTGGAAAATAGAATTAATAGAGATGGACGATCAACCGCTCACAACAAATGTTTGTACATTGACGGATATTTTAAATAATGAATCGGATGTAGACTACATCAGATACAAGCCTGCAGAAATCAATGATCCCAGTCGGCATCCATTGGTTATTCTCTATTCAAGTGGCACCACGGGAATGCCAAAAGGAGTGGCGCTGTCTCATAAAAATCTAGTGATGTTTTTAACAATATTTATGTAAGTTTTACGTATATATCATTTTTTTAAATCAATTAGTCAATACATTAAAAAAAAAACTTTCGTTTTTAAATAGCAATGAAGTCAATATGCATTTGATTAAAAACGCGGTGTTAAATGTTTAATTTAAAGAGAGATTTATGTAATACAAAATATAATACCATACTATTTCCACACTGTCTTTAATTATAATGTTATAATTTTAACTTTACAATTTATTTGTGAACTCTGCATATTATGTAATCGTGAAAAGATAAAGTACCATTTTCTCGCTTAAAAGCAATTAAGGAGGGATTTGATTCTATAATTCAAATATGATTTTAAAACACAGCAAGCCCGAATACGCGGACACAAAAAGTGATGACAGAATATTGATTCTACTACCGTTTTATCATGCCTACGGGTTGGGCATGCTGTTACTCGGGTCTTTCGGGAACTGCACCTGTATTATAATGTCCGCCTTCGAGCCGCAAATCTTCCTAACTCTAGTGCAGAAATATAAAATCACCCATCTGCCGCTGGTGCCTCCAATACTGATCTTTCTGGCAAAACATCCGCTGGTAGATAGTTGTGACTTTCGCAGCGTGAGAGAACTCTTCTGCGGAGCGGCACCGCTTGCGAAGGACGTAAGTTTTCTTTTATCATTATGAAGTTGGTCGTCCACTTTACCTACCAAACTCTTTTCCACATCCCCCTTGTCCAAATTATCATGGCAAGAAAAGCAGCCATCGGCGGAATTAACAATAAGTGCCGGA